AGAAGTTGTCACGAGGAATGGGACTAAAGCTCGTGAATTGAAAAGTTCTATAGTGGATACCCAACCTAGTTGGTCCTAGATTCAAAAGGGACAACTAAATTATAGAGCGAAGGATGGTCACTGTGGGGGTCCCGGACTCCTACCCACTCCTCGTTAAAACAGTGACTCCCGCACGAGGTTAGCAAAAACGTTTGCTTTAATGATTCTAAAATGTTGATCTACTCGATAACAATGGAAGAGTATGCGGGATACTCGTGAAAGAATCACCTATGTGAGGGAGAAGAGGGCCGTTTCAAAGGAGAACTGTAAAGGCTCAGTTCTTTAGAAACTCTTGCAGAACCAGGACGGTGAGTCATGGCCAAAACGGGCACACCCATGAGAACGGAACAAAGTTGGAAGGTTCTTGTGTAAAGATAAGTCAATGTTTACACGACGACAGTATAGTTCAAGGACATCGAGTCTACTAGACAGCCAGTAAATAAACGTGTCTTTACAACGGAAGGTTCAAAGGATAAAACCTACCTCTCTGTATGCAAGGATCATCCGGTGAACACAACATGTCCTCCTATCTTCGTGTCTTTTTAAGTCTCGAAAATCAATTTTCATTCATGTGGGGGATTGTTGGGAAAATGTGTTAAAAATTGCATCAAATGGTCATTTTGGGGCAATTATTTGAGTGGGGTCCACTTCCGATTTGGGTCAGGTCAAAGTGGTTTCGGATTGTCCTTGTTAAGGGCTACAATTCGATATGTGGTACACTAAAAACGGATAACGGGTGAATGAGAAATTGATTCTCGAAGTTCACTCGTTGAAATGGAAAAACTGGGAAAATGGTGAGTTTCTAGTGTGTTTTATCCCACACCGAAAAACTCAAGGGATTTTCACCCCCTTATAAAGGGAAGCCTCTTTTAAGGAGTTAAGATTCCTAAAGCGAAAGGCTCTCTCTTACGCGCAGGGGGGGTGCCGATCAAATCCCGAAACGGAGAAGAAAACCCGCGACTCGTGTGCGCGGGCGACCTGCGGACACGAATGTCGTCCGAAAACCTATCATTCAAAGATACAGTCTAATTTTTCTTTCTTCCCGTAACGTTCAGGTCCATTAACACCCCATTTAACACACAACAAATCCTCCTATAAATAGCTGGCAGGTGATTTGCAACAACACAACGCACAATACATTCCTCACGTATTCTTGAGCTAAAAACACCTACAGCTACTCTAAAAATTCCTTTTGTGTTCTTACTTGGTTCTCGTTCGCTGGAACTCTTGTTTGTGTGCTGAAACGATTGTTGCAACGCTCCTAGCATTGTGGGAGGCAACAAATACGTTTTAAGGACATCGTGCGTAGCACGAGCTTTGACTAATTCTGCTTCATCTCCTTTCTTGTTTTTCTCTAGTCATTTTATTTAATTAATTTTCTTTATTTTCCGAAACACACCCAACAGATCCACTCGTTTTCTCATTTTAACGGTTAAAATTACTTCTCATTTTTCATATAAGTAGTACTTTTTATTTGAACCTTCTCTCTCTCTCTCTCTCTCTCTCTCTCTCTCTATATATATATATATATATATATATATATATATATATATGTATATGTATGTGTATATATATATATCCCCATATTTCTATGACGTCCTGGGAATGTTGCAAATTAAAACATTAAGGAGGTGTTTGGTAAACAGTGTTTCAACCGAAAAATGGCAGTTTGACCACTTTCAGCGTTTTAAATAAGTAAAAATGTTGTATGGTAAATAGCGGTTTGGCACTAGCGTTTTTAGTCAAAAACGCTGGTAATATGAGAGTTTTGAGTTGGCGTTTTGAAAAATGGCGTTTTCAACTAATTTTATGGCCAAACAACTAAATTACCAAACATTTTCTGACAACCCGTCCATTTATTGCGCTAGTCACACCCACTGACTGAATCCACTATTGACAACTCGCTAACATAACTCGCTAACCGTTATCCGTTGAATGCCAAATACGCCCTAAGACAATATGTATTTAAAATCATACTCCATATAAAAAGTACTTCTGTTCTTGATATGTATTCCCTCCTTTTATTCTATATTACGGAGTATAATTTAACTCTGCATCACAGAACAAACAATACAAATATAATTACTACATTCATATTTCATATGCTAAACTTGTCAATTTTAAAAATAAATTAAGTGAACATTCTTTTAATACAAAATGAGTATTTTATAGAATTGAAATGAGAAAAATATATCACTTAAATAAATTAAGTGGTATATTCAAATAAATTAAGTGAACATTCTTTTAAAACAAAATGAGTATTTTATAGAATTGAAATGAGAAAAATAAACAAAACAATGAGCGTGACTAAATAAGTACTACTCGATCAGGTACAATTTAGGCATGTACCTTCTACTCTGATGAAATCACTATTGGTCTCCCAAAGAATAGATCGCAAGTTCAAGTCACATCATAATAAAAAAAACAAGTAAACAAAAAAAGAATATTCAATAAGTGTAACAAGTTATACTGTAAACAATTTTGACATTATATATAGTATAACAAGTTAAAAGAATATTCCAAAAAAAGCACTACTCGCGTACAAACTGAGTAATTAAAAGAAAACTACTCCTTCCGTATCGGCAAATTATACCGTGGGATCGGTGTACCATGCGCATGGTACACCAATCCCAAATACGATACCGTTTTTTTTACTTCGTATAACAAATGAAGCATACAAGACCACTTGGTGAATGATTGCATGCTCTCTCTACTCACACATCCTTCACTCACATTTCATTTTTCTTTTTCATTTGTTTCTTTTGATTTTTTTATCATCAAAAGCTATAATGTTTCCAATTACTTTTTTTAATTTAAGAGCACAAAACATATTATAATTTTGTGATCAAATTTCATCCTTTCAAATAAATTAATTACTTTTTCTTTCTCTCTTAGTCCTTATTGATACACTTTTCCTTTTCTTTTCTTTTTATTCAACTAAAAATACAATAAAAAACTATCTATTTTTTCTTTAGAATAAACATTTTTTATATTTATACACTTATTGGTAATATATTTTTTCACATTCACATTTGTTCCTATAATATATTTATTATCTCTCTTATATGGAGTATGTTTTTAGTATTTTTTTAGACATTAAATTTGGTTATTTTGATTTACATTTGATAAAGTATGAGATTACATTTTCCTATGCGATTTTTATTTCTACAAGTGTGAAGGAATGAGATTACTTATGTGAGCTATGTTTATTGACAATTTCAGGACTTACATTTGATAATATATGAAGTTACATCTTCTTGTACGTGAGTTACATATTCATACGCACGAGTTACATCTAGACTTATCTCAAGAAGTTAAATTTTGCATATACCTAAGTTAGTTTTCAATCAGTGCGTGTTACATTTTTCATAATATGAGTTACATCACTAAATAAACCTCTGTTATCGAAAGAAAATAACCATTTCTTTGCACAAAAACTGATTCTTTTTGGCAAAAAAAAATCCCCAAAAAAAAGTTTTGGCAAAATAAATATTTTCTAAGAAACAATTTTTTATGGCCTTAAATATTAAAAACAAAACATATTCACTATTTACATAACGTAATTGAGCAATTAAGCTCCTTGTTTTCATTGTTTACAATTGATAGTATATGAAGTTACATCTTCTTATGGACGAGTTACACAATTTTATGCGTGAATTACATCTTCTTGTACCCAAGTTACACTTAGACTTGCTTCAACAAGTTACATTTTGCATACACCTAAGTTAGATTTTTTCATCGACATGAGTTACATTTTCCATAACACTAGTTACATACCAAAATAAACTCCAACTATTGAAACAAAAAATTCATTTTTTTTGCAAACAAAAATGATATTTTGGCAAAAAAAGATATTTAAAAAATATTTTTATGGCCTTAATATTAAAAACAAAACATATTTATTACTTATGTATAGTAATTGAGCAATTAGACTACGTTTTTTCATTGTTTACATTGAAATCAACGTTTTATTTATTCTTCTTCGTATTAGAAAAGTTACACCACAACTTGCCTGCAGTTACCTTGCATATGCATATTGACGTGAGTTACATTTCATTACACACAAATTACATCTTCCTGTCACTGGGAACAAAAAAGAATGTTACTGTTCACGCGTGTTACTGTTCACGCGTGAATTAGTTGTGGGAGCACCATTCTCACCATGGGCTGCTCCCACGGTATACCAACTGTTCCGTATCACAATAAGTGTCTTATTTTCCTTTTTGGATCGTATCAAAATAAGTGTCTAACTTTCCCTTTTAGAAAATAATTCCACCCAAAAGCAGCTACAATACACTTTTATAAAGTAAATAGTACTGCTACAGTACCGAAAAACTCATACTTTTTCAAAGAGTGTACGGGAAATCTATAAACTATTTTAAAATAAGTGAAAAACCTATTGGGACTCTTATTGTGATACAGAGGGGGTACAAATTAGGGTTGGACTCGGGCCGGGTGGTCCGACCCGGAACCGGCCCGGGACCGGGACTGTTCCGGCCCGAACTGGTGGCCCGGTCAGTGACCGGTCCGGGTAGGCCCGACCCGGTGGGTTTCCGGTCCGGGCTCGGGTCACCCATAACAAGGCCCGGCCCATCCGGGCCCGGTTCGGGCCAAATTTATTTATTTTTTTGGTTTTTTTCATTTGTTTGGGCTCCACCGGGTTGGGCTTGATGTTTAGGAGGGGTTTGGGGGGTTTGGGGGGGTGGGGGTGAGGGGGAGTCAGGGATGGGTAGCTAAGCAAAAAAAAAATAACCAAACCCGAGGCCCGGCCCGGACCCGGTGGCTACCCGGGTCGGTCCCGGGTCCAGCTATATAGAACCGCCGGCCCGACCGGGCCTAGGCCCGACCCGGCCCGAGTCCAACCATACTACAAATTACAGGATTAGCAGTTAGCACAGGATCCAATGTTGAAAATTAATACTGTTGGGCCTAAAAGCCCAAGCAATAGATCAGCCACAAAAAATATCGTCCGACTCACAAAAATGATCTGTATTTCGCCAAACTTCGTTGTTGTTCAGTTTCGTGTGGGCAAAGCGTCTGGGTACTTGGGAAGGAAATAGCTGAGAGAGAAAAAACACAGATCAGAAAGCTAGAGCGAGCGATAGAGATGGATCCTAAGCTCACAGTGGTTTCTCAGTCATTTGAGCGGTTTAAGGCTGCTTTAATGCGTAAAGATTTCGATACCTGCACCCAGCTTCTCTCCCAACTCAAGGTAACTACATTTCCAACCACAGTTCGAATTCAAAACCCTAGATTTTCACTTTTTGGTACGCTCCATAGTTATTTCCGAAGCTCATCATTCATCTAGGGTCCAAGGCTTTGAAACAATGTGTTATATTGAGCTGCTGAGTGCTGACTATTACTTTTAGTTTGTCCAACATAAGGGGTATTAGCTTTAGTGAAGGTTCTTTAACTGATTGGGTTGAAATCTCTTTTTCTTATGCCCTGGATCAGGATTTCACCTAATAGATCTTACCACAGATTGATTTTGCATTATCTTCTATTTAAAAAAATAAGTTGTTTTTTCTTGCGTTGTATAATATGACCTGGGTTTGGAAATTTATAGAACGAAAATGAACTAACTCACTAAAGCATGAAGTTGCTAACATTTATGAGAGAATTTCTGAATGGTGGGTTGGCATCCATGCTACTCCATTGTACGGGGTATATGTATTTGGATACATATGAAAATCCCTGCATGACATTAAGCTGCTGAGCTATGCAATCACCAGAATTTACAGACAATTAGAGAAAGTTTTAATAATTTTATTAAATTTCATATTCTTTAGGATAAGAGGATCATTACATATTCTTTAGAAATTAGAATTGATATAAGATTATCTAATTATAGTCCTGATTTGGTAAAGGATAATATGAAAACGGTGTAATATGCTTGAAACATGTAATTAATACACTGACAGATATCTTTTGTTAAATAGATTGAAGAGAAAGAATGTATTTGTGAATACTTTTATTCCACTTGGTTCCTTCATTTAAATTGACTTCCTTGATAACTTCAGGTTATGCTAACTGAATTTAAGAGCCTCCCTCCCATTTTTGGAGAAACACCAAATGCAGTCCATGAGTTGACAATTGCGAGTAATGTTATTCGCTCTCTATTCTCTCTGTTGTTCATATTTCACAAGTTGTCTTGCTTTTTATCTTGACCTTATTTTTACTTAAATAAAAATCTTCTGAATGGTTTAATACACCCCTGTTTTCTTAGCTACTGTAATATCTTTTGTGCACATTTAGAAGTAGCTATGCCATAATTTTAAGATGTTATTCTGGTTTCCTCTGTAAGTGGATGTGGATATTTCATAAATAGTAACATGGTTTGATTGTGTGAACTGTGAAGGACTGACTAAAAATATGAACACAGAAAGAACAGCCACTTATTGACGTTGGAGTTTACAAAACTGGCGCGATAATGTTTGCTGTTAAATATTACAATTTTTCATTGCTTAAGATCATCTTATATAAATAATTCTGTGTACTTTTCAAATATTTCACATGATTGACATTGGGAGCTTGCGAATACTTCTGCTTCTAGTTGTCTACTGAAGTACATCTGTCATAACATATTGTCTAACAAATATTACAGGGGATATATATGAGCATGCAGTTATTTTAGCTGTGAAGATGGAGGATCAAGATGCCTTTGAGAGAGATTTCTTTCAGCTTAAGCCTTATTACACAGATGCAAGGTGACTATTATTGGCATAATTTTTCCAAAGCAATTGGAAGTATCGAAATTAGTATGATATTGGAACTAAAAGGTTTTTTCCCCATATTTCATTTTTGTGCATCTGGCCGAACCGAAGCAAACTAAACTAACCCGAACCAAAATTGTGCTAAACCGATTTAAAAATTTCCCCAACCATATTACTGAACATAACCAATAAAACTCAAACATTCAATCCAGAACTAAACCAAGTTAAGATTTTTTTTCAAACAGTACTAGTGAAAAAATATATCAAAATAAATGAACAATCCAGAACCAAAACCAATCCAAATTGAGTATATTTCATTTTCATATAAGATCCCTATCCAGGCTAAACAAGAAAATCAGAAATGCCCATACCTAGCCCCCCTCTCCCCAATGAATCCATGGCTGTGCCCTTTATTGTGAACCTTACTTAACCGGAAGTTTTGTCTCTTTACCAAACACTTTATAGATGCTTGATGTAGTCATTACGGTTCACTCCATTTCATACACTTATAATATATACCGTAGTAATTATGTTTTAGCTGAAGTCCTAATTTGTTCTTGTCTTGTAATGGAGCAACAGGCATCTTCCGCTGTCCCCCCAAGAATACCCCATTTTAGGACTCAACCTTCTGAGACTACTTGTTCAGAACAGGATTGCAGAATTCCACACTGAATTGGAGCTGCTTTCTCCTAATGCCTTGGAGGATCCTTGCATAAAACATGCTGTTGAGCTAGAACAGTCTTTCATGGAAGGAGCTTACAACCGTGTGTTGAATGCTAGGCACGCAGTGCCTCATGAAACCTATGCTTATTTCATGGATCTTCTGGCCAAGACTGTCAGGTGTAACCTCTTTGCATCCCTGAAATATTGTTGAAATTATATATAGTAGTAAACTTGTTGATTTTTCTGTTTAGCATGTTAAAGTTAACTTTTGCCTTTTCTATTGAACATATGTAATATAATTTGGCTGCTTTTAAAAGGGATGAGATAGCAGGATGCAGTGAAAAGGCTTACGACACTCTTTCAGTAGGTGATGCCCGGCAAATGCTGCTCTTTTCCTCAGACCAAGAACTCTTTGAATATGTTCGTGAGGTAAAAACTGTAATAAATAAATATGCAAATCTCTTCCTTTGTTTTCATGCTTAATCTCTCTAATTGATTTGTAGGAGCACCCCGAGTGGGAGATAAAGGACGGGCTCGTCATTTTCCAAAAAGTAAAAGATGCAGCACCTTGCAAGGAGATACCATCTTTGCAGCTTATCAACCAAACACTCAGTTATGCAAGGGAGTTGGAGCGAATTATCTGAGGGGGGTAGTGTTTCTATTGCTTTAAATTTCTTATTCCTTGTGACAATCGGCTCTTAGACCATTACTGCATCTAATTTTTCCTGTAAAAGTGCACATTTGTTTACTCTTTTCCCTGTTTGAGTTGAAATTTACTGTTTGGTCCAATGCGAATAGCTTATTTGATGGACTTGGTTTTGAATTGAGTGGTTCCAAGGTATTAGAAGAGTGAGAAGCAATAATGCAATATGATTCAGATTATTGAGTCATTCCCTAAAAGGAAAGATGAACTTAATTTTAGAGCATAATACAAGAAATGAGGATCTTTTTAAGTGAATAAAACTAAAACCTTACACCCTCCATGTCATAATAAGTTAATAAGTGTCTCACTAGGTTGTTCACGTGGTCTAAGATAATTTTTAGATTTATTTTATATTTTTTTAAAGTATATTGTTTTGGTACTATAGCAATACTGTTTACTTTATTAAATTGACTTTTGGTGTAGATTTCTTTCCAAAAAATGGAAGTGTGACACTTATTTTAAAACGTCTCAAAAAAGAAATTGTGACACTTATTTTGATATGAAGGCACTGTTTGACAAACCACTAATGTAGACATGTAGTGAACCATCAATTAATTCATTTGTGATACTTCCTCTTGATATTAATTGATATTGGTTTTAAACATAATGAATAACAATTTTTGTGATTAAAATTTGTTTAGGGGTGAGAGAAAAAGAACATCAATCACTGAATCATTTTCTTAAAAAGGAAAGAGACACAGCTACGGATGAAGGATGCATTCATTTTTGCGAAGTAGTTATTGGGGTACCTGGTATTTAATTTGTCTCTTGCCTTACTCTTTAGCTAATTTTATATTCAAACATAGTAATCATTCGGAACCCAAGAGGCTATTATTTGGACGTGTTCATTCGGAATGAAAAAATTATCGACCTGCTTATCTCTAGTTTGGTGACTTTGGTCTGGTCTAAATGTCTAATAGGACTTGTATCATGTGTCTTTTATTACAGAGCACTCACTATCAAAATTTTATTGGTTGTGTAACTTATGTTTGAGCTGTATGGCACTATGGCCTGGTTTGAGAATGCAATTAATCCAAGGGAATAGTTTGTTTGTATCCTTTAGGGTGTATTTGGGAGTTGGGTTTTGGAGGGGAGGAGAAGGTTAATGGGGGTTTATGACCCTCCTTTTCATGTTTGGGAGTTTAAAAAATTGGAGGAGTGGTTTTGGAGGGCTTTTGTAACCCTTCAAAACCCTCCAAATGCTTAATTTTTAAGTTCCCCCAATTTGGAATGCTTTGGAGGATAATTAACAAGATGTTAATTTAAGCTAAATTAGAAACGAATATCAGCTCAATGATTTGAATTCGTATATCTCAAAGTGATTTTAATTATAATTCTTTCAAAAACCCTCTTCTTCCAATTTTATTACTTCCAAATACAAAGAAGGGCTTCCTCACCCTCCCCTCCCTTTCCCCTCCAACAACATACCTCCAAAGCCTTCCCCTCCCCTTCCCTTCAAACTCCCAAACTCCCTTATGTTGTTGAAGGGAAGGGGAGGGGAAGGCTCTGGAGGTATGTTGTTGGAGGGGAAAGGTAGGGGAGGGTGAGGAAGCCCTTCTTTGTATTTAGGAGTAATAAAATTGGAAGAAGAGAGTTTTTGAAAGAATTATAATTAAAATCACCATCAGATATGACGAATTCAAATCATTGAGCTGATATTCATTTTTAATTTAGCTTAAATTACCATCTTGTTAATTATCCTCCAAATTGGGGTAACTTAAAAATTAAGCATTTGGAGGGTTTTGAAGGGATACAAAAACCCTCCAAAACCATCCCCTCCAATTTTTAAACTCCCAAACATGAAAAAGAGGGTCATAAACCCCCATTAACCTTCCCCTCTACTCCAAAACTCAACTCCCAAACACACCCTTAGAGATGGGTTCAATTTTTTGGAGGCTAATTTGACTAAAAATCATACGTGATAAAAGTTTGGTTTCATTTTATCTTTCAAAACATGAAATGGCTGTTTGATTTATCTACCCCGGGGTTTTCTTTCTTTTTTTAAATGTTGTCTATTTAAAAATGACACACTAATTGAAAAAACAAGCCAACTTGTAACAACAAATATTAATAGAAAATTATGACTTCCTCTGGGCCACAATCGTGATCACAATAGTTTGTTTTCTCTTTAACATTAAGTATGTTTGATAATATTTGTGTGATCTTAATTCATTTTACTTCATTCATATTTATTAATTCAATATCAATCACATGATTGTATTTTTCTTAATAACTGTGTCACTCCTCTTGTCTCAATCTCAATGGTCGGAGATAGTAGGGGAACAAATTTTAAAAAAAAAGGAGAATGATAAATTTAAACTTGAACTATATGTCAACAAACATAAATTTACCGTTATTTTTTTAACAATTAAGCATAAAATATGAAGAACACAGTCTTTGTCTATAAAAATAAATTTAAAGTTTGTTTTGTTTTCAAAACTTATGTATGTTAACTCATTCCTTTTTTGTATGTATCGTTTAAATGTCTTATGAGGTGCAATTGAGGTATGTTCTCTTAATAAAAATAAAGTGTAGGATACAAAAAAGTATAAGAACTATCGAGACTAAGCAACAATGAAACATCACTATCATAGAAATATGCCTTTTTCATGAATATTACTAAATTAAATTTAAAACATAAAAATATGACTTATTTTAAAAAAAAAATTAAAAAAGAGACGTATACAATGTCTAGTTCTCTTTTTGGGCAATGCTTGCAAGCGGTGTACCATATCTCGGTTTTGAGGTCTTTGGTCTTTGTAAAATTGGCCTTAAAGACAGATTCAACTTTATCACCGCCTTGGGAAGAACCAACCTCTTCCGCTTGCTCTTCCTCATCGTTTGGTGTGCCGTGAACCTCGTCCTCGACCGTTTGCGGATCCCCCTCATCCGCATCATCATCCTCAGGCTCTTTTTCCTCAATGATCGGGATGTCTTGAGGGAAAAAGCGTCCTTGATGTTGTTGCAATAGTTGTGCTAGTTGCTCATCGGACATCGCATCCACATCTCTCCGGTTGTAATCCGCATCAAAATCATCTCGGGTTTGAGATGAAGACCTGGCCCGTCCCTTACCTTTGTGTGAGCTTGGATGATTCCTCGCAATCTCCTTTCTTCGGTTGCGGTTGAGGTTACCCATATTTACAGAAGCTCTACCACGTTTCATCTTAAAAATATAACAAATATTAAATTCGAAGTACAATTAAACTAGTTAATTTGAAATACAAATCTAACAATTCGAAATACAATTAAAAAAATGAGAAAATGTAACAATGCAACTAATTAACAAGTAAGTAATAAAATTCAAACTATTTTTTAACAAATAATAAATAAATAAAAATTTAACAAGTTTAACTACTTTTATTATAAAATTCGAACAACTTTAATACGGAGTATAAAAGTAATAATTAACTAGTTTAACAATTAAACAATTAACTAGTTTTATAGGAGAATAAGAAATGTAAGAATTAACTAGTTTAACAATTAAACAATGAACTAGTTTTATAGGAGAATAAGAAATGTAACAATTAACTAGTTTTATAGGAGAATAAGAAATGTAACAATTAACTAGTTTAACAATTCAACAAGTAACTAGTTTTATACGAGAATAAACTATGTAACAATTAACTAGTTTAACCATTAAACAATTAGCGTCGAATTATTGTCTAACAGCTTTTTTGGAAGTAAAATGTAACAACTTTCTTTTTAATGTAACTATTTCCAATAAACTAACAACTAAAAATTAACTACTTTTATAGCAATGAACTAATACTAAAATGATAAGTGAAACAATTAAAATGAGTGTGTAAACTAAATTAATGGGAGTGTGAGTTGATAAGTAATTGCATAAGTAGATAATAAGTGTATAAGTAGATATAATAATTGTTTAAGTAATACTCCCTCCGTCCCCTTTTAAATGTCCCGGAAGAGGGTGACACGGGTTTTAAGAAAAATAGGTTTGTGTGGTTGATATTAATAGATAAAGTAAGAATAAAGTAAGAATAAAGTAAGAATGATTTTGAGCCACACAAACTTTACCAAATAAGGTATGGGGCAATTAAATAGGAACATCCCAATATGGTAAAATGAGACATTTAAAAGGGGACGGAGGGAGTATATAACATTATGTTTAGAGTATATATAAAATAAGTATATTACTATATAAGATGAGTAATACACTTATATTTAATACTTTAATATATATATATATATATATATATGTGTGTATATGTATATATTAAGTATATGTAATATGTAAATATAAGTAAATAACAATAATATTAGTAGATAATAAATTTTATAAGTAATATATAAATATAAGTAGATATTAACTATATATGAAGTAGATATGAAGTAGATAATAAGTAGATAATAAATTTTATAAATATAATATATGTAATTATAAATTTGAGAAGATGAAGATGGAGAAGATTAGCAGAGATTAGAGATTAGAGAGTAGGAATATTTGGAGAAGATGTGTAATAAATTGTATAGAAGAAATGGAGTATTTATAGGTTTCTTGTACCCCACCCCACCTCGGGACCCCAGGAAGCCTCCCAATGGCTATAGAGTTGTTTGGGTTTGTGGGCAACGGTCATAAGGCCTGTTTGGCAGGTCATTTGATTTTTTTTAATTGTAGCCGTTAGGCCCGGACAGGGCCCGAACCGGCCGGACCGGTTCTCATAAATCAGGGCCCGTGCCCTAACCGTCCTACACGATCGAGCCGGTTCAAAGCCTGAACCACCCTTCCGTCACCCGGGCCGGTCCGGGCCCACATAGTAGCGGGCTGGGCCGATTCAAGAACCGGGCCGAACCGGTTTGGGCCACCCCTAGCGGAGATTCCGATTGGTTCTTACTCCCTCCAGTCCTTATTAAACCTTACACTTTGACTTCACACATATTAAGGAAATAAATTTGACTTTAGTGTAGAATACAATGTTTGACACTATTTGGCACTTTTTAGCACTGTTTGGTGTAGATTTGTTTGCCAAATAAGGCAAATAAGGAAGTGTAAAGTTTAATATGGGACGAACCAAAAAGGAAAGTGTAAAGTTAATTAAGTACCGGAGGGAGTATTTATTAAAAAGTGTATTTCCTGTTTTATTTTTTCTCAATTTTCAATTGTACTACGTATTTCAAATAAAGAAAAAATTCCACTTTTGGTCCCATGACTATTATACCACTTCCATATTTAGCCCCTTACTTTCAGATTGTCCACATTTAGTCCGTGACCATTATCCCCTCACCACCCGTCCTTCCGGCTAAAATTCCGGCAAATTTAGCCCACTTATCAGCCTCAGAATCAGTCTTTGCATTAAATTTTATATAAGGTTGGGTTTTTCATATCAGTCTTTACATTAAATTTGTTTTTTCATACCTAAAATCTGCATCAAATTTGCCGGAATTTTGGCCAGAAGGACGAGGGATGGTGACGGGATAATGGTCACGGACTAAATGTGGACAATCTGAAAGTAAGGGACTAAATGTGGAAGTGGTATAATAGTCATGGGACCAAAAGTGGAATTTTTTCTTCAAATAAATATATTTTAACTTTTTTATGTCCAACTAATCTTAACTTATTATTTAAACAAACAAAAAAAATAGCCCGGGCTCGGCCCTAACCGGCCCGCTACCCGGCCGGATAGGCCCGACCCGAACCGGACCCGGTATCAACCCGGGCCTGTTCCGGGCCCAAGTATTTGAAAAAAAAGCCCGCCATGAACCAGCCCGGAGCCCAACCCGGCCTGAGCCCGGTCCATGCCTAGTACTGACTATAAAAGTATACAATAGTGCTTTGTGTACATAACACCATACACACCATTGTACACGCTGGTCAAATTATCTATGTACAGACAATTTAACCGGCGATTTGTGAAGGAAACTGATTTTTCAAATGGACAAATTTTAAGTTGTCTATCATGGACAATTTTAAAATTGTCTATGACAGACAATTTTTTGTCTATGTGAAAATCAGTTTTCTTCACAAAACGTCAATCAAATTATCTGTGCAAAGAACATTTTCCAAAAGCATACTCAACAAGTTTACTCACTTTTTGTTCATTTTATAATGTTACTTGCCTGTCTTTAATACATCTTCACATTTTACGTATCATGGTATAATGCATTAAAAAATCTTTGCAATTGTAGATGCTAAAAAGATTGATGATAATGTAAATGAAACTACAAAATGTTAAATTTCAAACTGCGCTTCACAATAACTTATCCAACACTAATGGAAGCCGCTTTTCCAACATTTCTCCTATATCGGCTTCTCCCAGACTTTGTGATCATACATTAGAAGGCAAAATTCTAACTGGTATTAGTGCAAGTCGGAAAGTTTTGATATTGAGAATCTCCTTGACAACTTTTGACATTAGACTTCCATTTATGTTTCAAAGACAACAATATCCTATAACTATAATGACTATCCATGAGAGTCGATGCAAATTCCTAGCTCATGTTGGTCTGTTAATCTGTTATTAAAGAATCTTGTTTTGAGCCATGAACAATTTTATGTTATTGTCTCGGGATTATCAATCATGCCATCTTGAAAATACTTATTTATAATAAAGATGAAACGTTGAGAGACCATGTTGTTCATACTGAAGTATCTCACAATTTTTTTTCATAATTCATAGATTATTATCTATCTTACCTATCTGATTTAAAGATTTTACAAAATTACATTAGCTATCTTATTGTCTGATTTAAAGAATTTACATCATCTTGATAAAAATGCATAAAACATGGATTATTGGGATCATTTTTGCCTAAAAAATAATGGATCAAGTATATTGAATAGAAGTGATAAATAGCACCAGAGTTGGAATTGTTTGTACACAAGGAGCTTAGGTAGCTCCTTCAAGGCAGCAACTAAACTATGCATCTGCTGCTTTAGCTTTCTTCTTAACTACAAGGCTTTCCTAAATACATTGATGCAGTCTAATAACACCATCGTGCTTTAGAATAATTGCATCTGAAAATCCCATGTTAACATTTGTACCAAAATTTGATCTAACAGATGCATTAGCCATTTGAGAATGGAGGGGAATGAACAAATGAATGAGAGCTTTTATCTGACATTTAGGGAGGGTAGGCGAAGGACATCTAATTGTAATAGACAGTAGTAGCAGCAGCAGCATGGGTGAGTGATACTTCTAAAACAGAGATAAATCTGCTTTTGGTGATGTTATTGTTGCCACACACTTGAACTGCAAGAGTTAAGAAATAGGGTATTAATAAGACAGACCTTGGGTCTTAGTTACCTAGTGAGTTTTAAAATTCCATTTTCTGCCTCAATATATATGGCACGTATAGTAATTTTCTTTTACAGATGCATCTTTTAAATTTTGGTAAATTAGACCTGGTATAAATCATTAAAAAAACTTATAGTGATGCTCCCTCCCCAAATTATCTCTACATTTATTTAAAAACAAATTGTGTGCTGACATTATTCTTTCCCTTTCCTAAATAAGTCTTCAACCATGTGATTCCAATAACGCAACAAGCATGTGAAAAATAAATAGCAAGCCAAAAATAAATTTACAGATGTATAGGCGGCTGTATTGTTTAAACTTGTTTTGGTTAAATCTTATTTAACCTATGTAACCTTTGTATAACTTTCCTTCAGCAAATTACAGGAGAAACTAACTTTATTGATCAAACATGGCTCTTTTCTTTGGGGCAAAGAAAGAGTTTGAGATGGAAGGCAGAGCATTGACGTCTTTGTTACATTATATAAGAAGCAAATTATTTTGATATGTAACCTACGATCTCAAGAATCTCGTTCAAAAACTTGTACCAGATATGCAGTAAACGTGTACACCAGGATCATAATAAGTTACCTGAGGTTGCTTATACTTTTCATGAATGGCATTTAGGGAAGATCCCTTGGTGTTCAGCTGCAAGTCTTGCAAAGCTGAAACCGTACTTTTCAGCTCCAATGCCTTGTACCTGGTGTAATGCTCAAGGGTTGGGTTCTGCAAGAGAAAACCATTTCTCAAATATGAGTCAATGATTTAAGGTATCGTTTGCAGACCAATATAGCACACACTATAATGAAATCAATCACTCCCGCGTTTTTGTGTAATTTTTCTGATGTGTACGAATCTTTAAACATAATAGGAATGAACATGAAAACATATTGAAACTTAAGTCAGTTATCAT